AAGTTATTTCCCCAGAAAAAACTTCGACCAAAACATCACTTTCTCTGCCACTACCCATGGCTCATACTGATGTTTGGTCCACTAATCAGAGTGTGGACATTGCATTTTGAAAGTAAGCATGGCTTCTTCAAAAAGTGCGTTCGGATCAGTCAGAATTTCAAAAATGTAACTTCCTTGATGTCAGAGAGGCATCAATTAATGCAGGCATATTCTTTTCATGGGAATTTTTTCCCAGATGATGTAAAGGTGAAGCATGGAACGGCATTTGACCCATATATGTATGCAGACAATATATGGTACTGACATAATGCACAAGGTACAAGAAAGCTTCAAGGACAAAATTCCCAAGATTTTGTGATTCCTTAGGCAGCACCCTCCTTGTCTACGAAACAGACAACTCCAAGATACAGTCCAGCAACTTGAGGCAGCTTTTGATGTTGTGGGCAACAAGTCACCACAAGTGATTGGCTTGATTGCTGTTTTGTGTGCCTACTTTGGTGAGGACAGGAAATGCTACGTTCTTTCTACGGAGGTAAGCAATTAAAACTTTAAATACAGAGTGTTCACAAAAAAGTATCCCAAATTTCAACTTCATGCATAATTCTGCTTCTTTACTTCTGGATATAAGGGGAGTGGTGAAGGCCTTGTCTTTCAAGTAACCCCACAGGAAAACATCCCAAGGTGTAAGATCAGGAGATCTCAAAAGGCCATTCAACATCACAAAACAATGCAGTTACTCTTGTGGTGTCACAGTAAAATAAGATCTATGTCACTCTGATCCAGGTTATGAGGTGAAAAGACGAGCAGTAAGAGCAAATTTTCCTCTTAAATAATGTATATTCCCTAGAGAAAAAGTCATTAAAGACAATTCGAGGAGTGCAAAAAATGAAAACGTTGTACACTTGGATTTCTGGGACCAGTCTCATGGAGTTTGGTGTCAAGTGGCATGCCTGTATGGAACTCTTTCCATGAGGTCTCAAATTTCACTCATATTTTTTTATACCCCAATCCAGTAGTATAAAGTTAAATTAAAATACCGATCAAATTGTTGATTTTCAGGAACTTGAGAAAGCTGCTTTCAGCAAAGAGGATCTGCCTGGTAACCCCTGTTTACTCGTGTATGGTAAGTGCTAGATTACATGTATTTCATCATTAGAGCATGTTTGTGTTAGTCTGTCTCCTAGTTGTGTGATGTATCATTGAGTATTGTACACTGGTGACCATTTTATCAGTGTTTTTCCTCTAGGTTTCCAGCAGAGAAAATAAATAAATGTTACTTCCTGAATTGGAAAAAGACATACCTTTAAAATTTGATAGTATATTTTGGTTCCAATTTCAACTGTTGGATACCTAGTAAAGCTGTTCCACTCATGTGAGTTTCAAAATTTGTCCTCCTGTCTAAAATTAATTGTTTGTTCTGGGGAATCATGAAACTTTGTGACGACATTGCCATAGGTGCATGCAATTTGAATATGGCCGCCTTTTTCCAAGATGGAGGCCATTTGTCAGCTGACGTAAGTAACATGGCAACAAGGGTAATGTTTGTTTGTTATTATGTCAAATATCATGTAGGTTTATAGGGCCAAGGAATCAGATGG